TAATATAAATAGTTATATATTATATATATATATATATATATATATATATATATACATATGTGTGTGTATGCGTGCGTTTGTGTGCTCGCGTGTGTGTGCGCGTGTGTCTGCGCGTGTGTTTGTAGGTATAATACAATACACAAGTGTCTCGAGTCTTACATCAACGATGATGTAACGTAGTATGCAAAGTCTTAGGATAGTTAGAGTTTACCTCCACGTTATGTATCGTAAAAATGGTATATGTATACACTGATGGCTCAACGTATACCAATCTCCTTGCTTACTTGACAACTCAGAATTGGGTGAAACATCAGCGATACTGACGGCAACAAACATGGTAGTGTTGTGACGATCAATCAAAAATTCTGGTAGGAATATATTCAGCTCTCCCATCTTAATTTCTTCCTGCAGTTTCGCATAGACGGCAGCGTTATCGATCTCCAGTTTGGCACTGGGGTTCGCTTCTGAAAAATATTAAAGAGTACAAAATAAGTTTGGCTTAAATAATACTGAAAAATATCACTGTCGTGAATCGATGACATTCTACTTATAGAATCTAATATATCGCATAGAAACATCTTTAGGGCAGCAAAATCAACAAAATAGAGTTCAAAATTAATTTTGAATTGTTATATTTATATATTGCATACGTTTTACTTCCATTTTCATTAATTCGCATATATATTATGATTGCTAACAAGAACGTGGTTTTTGGCCACGACTTCTCAAGAAGGAAGAGGAGGAGGAGGAGACGAAGGAGGAGGAGGAGGGAGGAAGATGAGAAAGGACGTTGAATTATTCGTTACTGCCTCGGATATCGAAAACACATGCGCGTACTTGTGTACAGGGTGCATTTCTCGTCGAGATCCTGTGACGCGCTGGACTCCGGTGTCGCGGCGGTGGCAAAGTAACAGTCGACGGTCGTTGACGAAGACGTCGTTGTGCAGGCAGCCGTTGCGACGCAGTCGCCTGCCACTGCTAGACACTGCTGGGCACACAATTTTGCGCTGGCCAGGCCGTGTTCCNTCAACTGTTAATTTGAACGATAACTAAGAGTGATTTTACGAAAATCTTGAAAAACAGGTACTGCGTAACTGCGTTAAACTAAACTCGGCAGTTCTTTTCCAATGAAGTGTTCATCACCATTGTTTCAACATCCAATAAAGGGATGACAATCCAAACAACAACATTGCCATCTGCTTATCATTAGAGAGCGTTATCACTTAAAATACCTCTATTGATGTACTGATACGGTATGAATACCATGATTGAAATATGTCTGTCGATCTACAGGTATGGTATGATTTCGATTCAAAGATGGCTCGATACGACTTCTCCATTAGCATGCAACTGATGCCAGATCTATACTATCCTGCAGCCCAATACACGGAAGTACACGACTTCAACACAGGTACGTCGTGCGAAAAGCGTGTGTCTGCGCGTGTGTTTGTAGGTATGTACAATACACAAGTGTCTAGAAGTTCTTAATCAACGATGATGTAACGTAGTATTGCAAAGTGCTTAGGATAAGTTAGAGTTTAACCTCCACGTTATGTATCGCAAAAATGGTATATGTTATAGCACCTGATGGCTCAACGCTATATCAATCTGCCATTGCTACCCGACAACTCAAGAATTGGGTGACAACATCAGCGATACTGACGGCAACGAACAATGGTAGTGTTGTGACGCTCAATCAAAAATTCTGGTAGGAATATATTCAGCCTCTCCCATCTAATTGCTTCTGCAGTTTGGGCAATAGACGGCAGCGTTATCGATCTCCAGTTTTTGGCGCAGCTGGGTTCGGCTTCTCGAAAAATATTAAACGAGTACAAAAAAGTTTGGCGTGAAATAAGCACTGACAATGTCGTGTCGTGAATCGATGACATTCTACTTATAGAATCTACTCTATCGCATAGAAACCTCTCTAGGGCAGCAAAATCAACAAAATAGAGTCAAAATAAATTTTGAACTGTTATATTTATTATTGCATGACCAGTTTTTTAGCATCTATTTTCATGAAATTCGCATATATATTATGATTGGCTAAGCAAGACACGTGGTTTTTGGCCCACGACTTCTCAAGATAGGAAGAGAGGAGGGAGAAAAACGGAGGACGGAGGAGGAGGAGACGAAGGCAGGCAGGAGGAGGGAGAAGATGTAGAAAGGGGACGTTTAAATATCGTTTTACTTCCTCGGAATATCGAAAACCACATGGCGCGTACTTGTGTACAGGGTGCATTTCTCGTCGAGATCCCTGTACGCGCGCTGGACCTCCCGGTGTCCGCGGCGGTGGCCTAGTAACAGTGGCGACGGTCGTTGACAAAGACGTGCGTTGTGTCAGGCATGCGCGTTGGCGACGCCAGTCCGCACTGCTCACTGCTAGACACTGCTGGGCAACACAACTTTTTGCGCATGGCCACGGCCGTGTTCCAACGTTCCTAACGGCCGCCGTCGAGCGTGGTTGGACGCAGGTGTAATCGTGGTAGGTACGCTAACGAGAATACTCGATGCAATTCTATGACCAAAGAATTATTAAAAGCATCCATCACGCGCTGTGTGTGTGACGCGCGCGCGCGGCGGCAGCGTGTGTGTGTGTGTGTGTGTGTGTGTGTGTGCGTGTGTGTGTGTGTGTGTTGTGTGTGTGTCGTTGTGTGTGTGTGTGGTGTAAGTGTGTGTGTGTGTGCATGCGTGTGTGTGTGTGCGTGTGTGTGCATGCGGTGTGTGTGTGTGTGTAGTGTGTGTGGTGTTGTGTGTGTGTGTGCTGTGTGTGTGTGCTGTGTTGTGTGCAGGGTCCCGATCTAAGGTTTTAAACTCAAGGGGGGGTTTACGCTAGGTGATTTGGCTTACACCACCCCCGGTGGCCGAAGGCATACGCCTTGCTAGGGGGGGGTCGCGGGGGCAGCCGCAAGGGGGGGGGGCGTAGATCCGCCACTTGTGTGTGTGTGTATGCGTGTGTGCATGCGTGTGTGTGTGTATGTGTGTGTGTGTGTGTGTGTGTGTGTGTGTGTGTGTGTGTGTGTGTGTGTGTGTGTGTGTGTGTGTGTGTGTGTGTACATGCGTGTGTGCATGCGTGTGTGTGTACGTGTGTGTGTGTGTGTGTGTGTGTGCGCGCGCGTGCGCGCGCGTGTGTGTGTGCGTGCGTTTGTCTCCCTCGCTCTCACTGTGCGTGTGTGTATGAGTGTGTGTGTGGGGGGACGACCAGGTGCCCCTTTTCACTTCTTTTCAGCACAAGAAAGACAGCATGACGGGACATGAATGGACCCAACAAAGCGTATCGAAAACATTTTAATTAGCTAAGCTACCTTCGGCACATATTTTAACACAATCAGGTAATCAGTAAATATCGAGTCGCAGTTTGGGCGGGCAGGGCTAATGAAAATGACATTATTTTAGTTGACCTTAATTTACACACCTACCGCGACTCGACGGTCTATTAATGAATGTTACAGTTGTGAACACCCTGCACTTCGTTTGTAGTCAACCTGGAGCAAAATGTGGGAATTAAAATACATTTTGCAGTGACATCACGCAGAAATTAAGGTAAATTCATATGTTGCTGTTGCATTAGAGCGACCGACTAGCCCTTAAACTCACTTACCACACAACCATTCTTCCGACATTCAATACGATTTTACGTTGATAACGACATCCATTTTACCAACCCCCCATTGTGATGACTGATAAACCGTTTAATAATAACCATGCACAGTTACTCAACCTTCGTCCTATTCAATCGTTATACCGACTTCCGACCGCGTGTTTAAACATCTTAGATATTATTTCGATACACGTAATTACATTGATTAGTAAACGCAACGAAAGCGATATTTACTTGTACGTGAGCAACTCTGAGTGGCGAGATTTCTGCAATTTCCGCTAATGTATATGTAGTGACGATGCCGAATGAAGTCTTTCTGTCGGCAACAACCGATGGGACTCCGTCTATAACTAACAAACGAGGAAGAAGAAGAAGGTTACTGAACGAGCAAAACGTAAAACAGAAGAAGAAGAGAAGAAGAAGCAGAAGAAGAGGAAGACGAAGACGAAGAAGAAAGACAGAAGAGACAGAAGAAGTAGAAGAAGAAGAAGAAGAAAGAGAAAAAGAAGACAAAAGAAGAAGAAGAAGAGGAGAAGAAGAAGAAGACAGGAAAAAAGGAGAAGAAGAAGATGACAATGAAGAAGAAGAAGAATAAAAAGAAGAAGGAGAAGAAGAAGAAGAAAGACAAAGTGGTATAAGGAGAAGGAGGAGGAGGAGGAGGAGGAGGAGGACGAGGAGGGGAGGAAGATAAGGAAGAGGAAGAGGAGGAGGAGGAGGGAGGAGGAAAAGGAGGAAGAAGAGGGAGGAGAGGGAGGAGGAGAGCGAGAAGGAGGAGGAGGGGAGGAGGAGGAGCGTAGGAGAAGGAGGAGAAGGAGGAGGCAGGAGGAGGAGGAGGAGGAGGAGGAGGAGGGAGGAGGAGGGGAGGAGGAGGATGGAGGAGAAAGCACGGTGAATTATATGCGTTACCTGCCGACTTGCATCAGAACAAATCGCAAAACTATTATGCGCGGGAAAGATAAATCGCGGTCTACATTTGGTTTTTCGATATGGCCGCGCATTACATATTTTTACGTTCTGGGCGATTGATGTATTAGACTATTTCGTATCTAATCATAGACAAAATGCAATGAATAAAATCAGCATTTAGCCCATTGTAATAAGATTCTTAGTAATCATCTGATGTTCCTACTGCGCATGTTAGCAATTCTCTATTGCTGAAATCAGTAAACTAGAGGCATTCCATGCTAGAGTCATAGAAATTTGTTTTCATGACGCCCGTAGTTCCTCCTGTATAGATAAAGATACAACATGAAATAATCCTAGCTTCATACTTTGATTATTTCTTTTTATAGTAATCTTATTGTTATTGTCGATGCAAGCAAGAATTAGTCACTAGGGGTATAGTAAAACGATAACGTGAAATTAATTATAAGTTGATTATCGCGCTTTCTATGTGAATTGCGTTCAATTGTTATTTTGGTATTTTCATATCATTAAACATGACTCACGCGAAAATCATAGCCATAAATACTAAATACTGTTCTGGCCATTTTACTAATTTTCAACTCCATTAGTTTCTCTCTAGACCCTTCCTCTAACACTCGTTCCTCTATGGCCACCGCTTCCCTTTTAACACTCAGGTCCAATGCGCTGGCAACGCGCTAGTATAGCTTCCTTAAACGGATACCAGGTGGGTTGTCAGTCAAACAATCGGCGCAGTATATGTCATCAGTATCTTAGACATTTAGATTAGCTTCTGACAATTGCTACAGTATCAATATTCACAGTCCATCACCGCGGGAAATCTACCAAATACTGGTAAATCAGCGTTGCAAATTCAAATTAATAACTAAATAAATAACAAATAAGAACTTAAAATACAAAACCTTAAATAGCATACGTAATGCTCTTCAAAATATAATACATAATAATAATAATAATAATAAAATTAATTTAGACTCACCGTGGCTTCCTTACAAGTATATATAAGTATGCGAGCATTCGGCAGCAACTATGATCTCTTACCGTGCGCCGAGGCCTAACCTGGCACCCCATTCTGGGAGCAATTCTCCCCTGAGCATTGACACGTAATGTCCATTCAACAAATTACTTGTACTTCGATGACTTCTGTATTTCTAAAACTGTATTATATTCTCTGAAGGTCTAAGGTGGTTAAGTCTGAACATTTTCGTGGATATAAGAACAGGGAGTAACATCGACGGTAATTATTATTGCAAACCAATGAGAAAGAAACGAACTGTCATGAATTTGTATTGCTATTGTTTAGCTGGCGAAAATGCTAGCGGTCAAAGATGGCGTCTCTTAGTACGTTGAATGCACGGTACCTGCGGAAAGATGCTCCTACGCGCCACGTCTGCTTACCGGACACATTCACGGTATTCGCTCATCACGCGCTGCGTGCGGGGGGGTTTGTATTTGAATAAAGCATAAGCGTGACGAATTAGATGAGAAATAACCGATAACTCGACAAGACGATCTCGAGTTTTTCCGAGGGCCAGTAATGCAAAGGTTCTTGCGACGTTCGTAGCCACAGTTATTTGTGATCCTTTACTAAACCCAACATCTTTAGCATTTTTAGTATTTGTATTTTGTTGGCCATCAGGCACTGTGTGTTCGCAACCTGGGCCGAGTTAGCAGTACGTTTGAATTAAAGTTGAATTTCGCAGTTTATATGATCGAATAGACGTGTACAGTTACAAGATGCGCTGCGAGCAGATCTACAAGACATTTGAATGGAGAGCAGTAATTATTCATTGCAGCAAGGTTATCGAGAAATCAACCTCTCTCTCTCTCTCTTCTCTCTCTCTCTCTTCTCTCTCTCCACTCTCTTTCGCCTCTCTCGATTTCTCTCGTTTTTCCCTCTCTCCATTCATATATCTTTGTAAAGGCAATGGATAGCTTATTATAGTATATATATATATATATATAATATTATATTATATGAATCTTTATCCTTTGGACATTCTCGTCTATCTCACTCTCCTCCACCCGTCTCTCTCTGCTCTCTCCTCTCTCTCTCTCTCATCTCTCTCTGCATCACAGCACACACGCACCTTCACTCTTCCGCTCTCCTCTTTCCTCCTTGCATGTCTCTGTTCTTTCAGCCGCTAGGCTTCCTCACCACTACCCTCTGCGCTTCGGCGCAGTGCAAGGCTGCTTAAAGCCGTAGCGCAGACGGCTGCGAACTTTTGGGGGTTGCTCGTCGCTCGCAACCTGCAACCGGGCGAAGCGAATCGCGGGTCGCCCTCCCCCGCTGTCGTATACCGCGCCGACGAATGCGAATTTCGATCAGCGATTTCGACGCGCGATTGAGAACGCGACGAGTTTGCTGAAAATCAAACGCCGTTTGATTTCTAGGGCGACTCGGCTGCAGCGTACCGAATCGTTACGACGTTGGCAAGTTGACGTTCCCGCAAGACATTAGGCGATTTCATGCAGCATTTCGACTGCGATTCTAGAATCGCGGCCGAATTGCATGAAAAAGTCGCAAGTCTGCGCTAGGCTTTACCGTTCCCGTGTAGACGTAGCGTTCGTTGAGTATGAGCAGGTCTCCTGGTCTCTTCATCGTGATGAACGCACCCGCGCCGCCATGCTCGTCATGATCAGCGTCCCAGCTGTCGTTTGTTAGCGCACTGATGCTGCAGTTGCCTTTGCTGTGATCCATGACGTAGCGAAGCCCTGTCGCCACAGAGAGTGCGGTTCATTACGGGATCAACGCGGATACAAGCATAGGTAGACACGTGGACTATGACAGGGAGAAACACGCGGAACATGACAGGGGCAGACGCACGGAACATTGTAATCAAGAGTCCATATTTAATAAAGAGTTAATAATAAGAGATAATAGAGAGATAAATAGAGTCTCTATTATAGACTCTTGATATATATATATATATATAATATATATATATATATAGAGAGTAGAGAGATAGCTAGTTAGATAGATAGATAGATAGATAGATAGATAGATAGATAGATAGATACGATAGGGTAGATAGATAGCATAGATTAGATAGATAGATAGATAGATAGAATAGCATGATAGATAGATGATAGATGAGATAGATGAATAGATTAGATAGATAGATAGATGATAGATAGATAGATAGATAGATAGATAGATAGAGAGTGAGAGAGAAAGAGACAGACAAAGAGAGAGAAAGAGAGAGAGAGAGAGAGGAAGACAAAGAGAGACAAAGAGAGAGAGAGAGAGAGAGAGAGAGAGAGAGAGAGAGAGAGAGAGGAACAAAGAGACAGAGAAGAGAGCGAGTTATGTAGGAAGAGAAAGACTAAGTACACCAATGTACCAAACACGACTGAAATATCTTTGGCAGGCGTNACTTTACTACCGGATTTAACCAGATTAATGCTCAGACAATAAATTCGGCTCCAACCGCCATTCGGGTTTATTCGCAAGATACCGTGCAATCTGCTACAGTTCATAGGTTTCTGTTTCTGTTTCTGTTTCTGTTTCTGTTTCTGTTTCGTGTTACGGTTACGTTTTAGCAGACCTCAGGGTTATACACTACATCTCTGATAAAACCTGTTACTGATATAATTCCTACTGCCGAACAATGACTTTGCAAAATTGCGTATAATTTTTTTTTAAACGGACAGCAATTTCCCGTTAAAGGAATTAATTAATTATTAAATTAATAATGAATCAACTGTTAATTTGAACGATAACTAAGAGTGAT